CATAAAAAATAGAAAATCAATCAATCAATCAATCAATCAATCAATCAATCAATCAATCAAGCAAGCAAGCAAGATGTTGATTGATTGATTGATTGATTGATTGATTGATTGATTTATTGATGGATTGATTGTTGGTTTGATTGTTTGATTGATTGACGGTTTGGGCCATTTGCTTGATTGCTTGATTGATTGTTTGATTGATTGATTGTTTTATTTTGTGTTGGTGCAGGCGACATCCCTGACCGATCAGCGTCGCCGGCGGATCCCGTTGACCGGTGCCTAAGTTTGGACGCACCCGCTCATGGAAGGCGAACCGGGCAGAACGCTGCCTCAAAGCCGTTCGAAACCTGTTGGACGGGGGTTCAACGGGAGTTAAACGGAGTTTCAATGGACTTTCAACGGAGTTTTAACGGAGTGCACGAGGTGTCGGAGGGGAGGCGCTTACGACTGGACGGGCGCGGCTTTGAGGGGGGTTCACAACGTCGTGAAAACAGACGCGCGAACATGAGCCCGCGCCTGAACATGTTCAGCAGGATTATAGGCGCAAATATGTTGTCTACCATTACATTGTTGTTGGCCAGAAGGTCAAGAACAGCCGGGTTAATATGCTACGGTGCACCTTCTGCAATAAGGTGTTTCAGGGAACCCAATTCTACGCAACGAAACACTTCACCCAACAGAATTATTGCAAGAAGGTGTCCGATGATGCATTGTACCAGATTGCGCAAAAATGCACACACTGCTTCGAGGCCGATCAGGTAGAGAGGGTGTGGCGGTTTGCACACGAGCGTGGTCTTGATGTCCCGCGGTCTAGTGCGATGGGTGGTGAGGCGGAGCATCCTACACAGGGCGTGGGCGAGGGAGAGGATACCGCGCGTTATGCGGAGGGAGGTGTTGCGAGATATGGGGAGGGTGCGGGTGCCGCGGAGGAGGACAAGGCAGACGTTGACCTAGAGGTTGGCATGGCTGAGGGAGAGCAGACACCGAGGGGAGAGGGGGGCGTGCCGAAGTCCGATCCGATGGCTCGTCAGAGGGCGGTGGACTCACTGGACTGGGAGCAGAAGTGCGGGAAGAAGCCCGTCCCGCCTGAGATGACATGCACGCCGAGTTCTTCGAAGAGTGTTGTTCCTGAGAGAGCATGCACGCCGGGTTCTTCGAAGAGGAAGGAGGGGGGTGCGCATGTTTCTGCCACCAATGCAGGGAAGAGGCTACAACAGCAGAAAATGACGGACACGTATGGTGGCGAGTGGATTGGTCAGTGGAGGAAGGCATTCTTTCGCTGGGTGTATTCCAGCGGGATTGCCTTCAATGCCTTCCGCAACACGCCGTACCGGGACCTCCAGCAGGTTGCTCTTCGACAACCTGGTGGAGCACCTCTTCCCGTGCTTTCATCCCACAACGAGATCGCAAGCATGCGAGCTGTGGAGATCCACCGCGAGGAGTTGGCGGAGGAGTTGGAGGAGGTTAGGGAGTCATTATGGGTGAGTGGCGCCACCCTCCTCTCTGACGGGAGGAAGTCACGAGACGGGCGACCAATCGTGAACTTCCTCGCAGATGCGTCTCGAAAAGTCGTCATGTACACGACGATCAACCGAGAGAGGGGAGCCGGACGATGCGGTGCACGTCCTGCAGAATTGGGTCGCCATCTTTCACGGTTTCAAATTCGGTGGCCCACAGCGGGTCAATGCTATATGCACTGACTCCGCCTCTACATACGTGGGGGCTGCGAGGGCTTTGGCCTCGCCATCTATGCCCCCTCAGCTGAGGAGGATTACTTGGCTCCCGTGCTGCGTCCATGTCTGCAACGAGTTGTTGTCAGACATTGGCACGATCTGTACCTCTTTCGTGGACACGATCACACGTGCCCGAGTTTTGGTGGTGTTTTTCAAAACCCACCAGGCCGCTCTCAGCTTCTTTCGGAAGCGGAGCGAGGCGTTGGGGCTCGTGCTTTAATGCGAGACTCGCTTTGCGTCCGTGTACTCCATGTTGAAGAGGCTGCTTGCTCTGCAGGATCGTTTGCAGGGCATGATGACACGGGAGGACGGTCGGGCTTGGGCTAGGATCCCGTGGTCCCGCGACGTTCGCGACATGGCGCGTTGGGTGCGCCGACAGATCAGGTGGTTACCTTGGTGGGAGAGGATGCGTGCCATCAAGCACGTCATGGATCCTGTTATGGACTTGCTGAGGCGGATGGACCGTGGTGGACAGTTCATGTCCCTCGTTGTAGAGTGGACTCGGGATCTTGCACGCCTTGTGCGGGACGCTTGCATTCCTCTTGGCCAGTCCTTTTCTGACCGTGTCATGAGGCGTGTGCAGGCCCGTATACAGCACATGATGGATCCCGCACACTGCGCCGCGTTCTTACTGAACCCCCGTCACCGGGATGTTCAGTAGTTCTCCTCGCAGCTCGACGGGTACCACACTTGGCTTGTTCGACAAGCCAAGAGGTATCTGTTATCTCAGACGGGCCACGACGAGTCGGGTGGTCGTTGCCTTGAGGTATGTCGGCAGTTCGAGGACTTTCACATGCAGCAGGGTAGGTATGGGACATGGGGTGGGGCAGAGGGCTGCGCTCGAGCGCGTAGTTGCAGCGGAGACTGTGAGACGTTGGAGTGTGCGTCGTGGTGGTCTTAGTACGGGGGAGACGCGCCTGATTTACAGCATTGCGCTTTTTGTTTGATGCACATGTGGACCTGCGCTTCTCCATCGGAGAGGAACAGGGCGGTCCACGAGGGCATCCATACAAAGAAGTGTAATCAGTTGGCCTTCGAGAAGGTCGTTCATCTTGTTGAGATCACCGCAAATGTGCGGTTGATGGGGTATAGACGTGCAGGTTGTGGATACGTCCTTCCTTGGCAGCGAGACGAGGGCATGCTTGACGCTCAGGCGGGATTGGACGTGGAGCCTGTGCGCTCGGGGGCGAGGAGTGGGATGAGGGAGGAGGAGATCGAGGAGCAGGCTGCCCTCATTGTGCGCGATCCCATTGGGGCTTCTGCATCGCCCCCTGTTGAGTCTGTTTTCAGTGCTCGTGCGACTATCTTCCGCCCATACCCCAGGGACGATGACTCTGCGGACGAGAGGGAGTCGGAAGCAGCGGGCGACCCCATGCTTCCCATCCCACGTGAGATTGATGAGTTGCACGAGGAGGGCGACGTGCGTGACGAGAGGACGCACACCACGCGGAGGGCGGCAGAGCAGCGAGATATGGATATGATGGGGGGCGAGGAGTTCTGGGGATCTTTCGGGGGCACGGAGGAGAGATCACCCACTACCGCGCGGGAGGATACGTGTTCTCGCACGACCTTGCGGGAGGAGACGCCTGCTCCCATGACTGCGAGTGAGGAGTCGGGTCCTACCACGACAGCATGGGAGCGGACGACTGTTTCGTCGACTGCGCAGGAGCAGATGCCTGCACCCACGACCACGCGAGAGCAGACGAGTATTCCCGCGACGCAGTCCGCACCCTCGTCGCAGTCGCCTCTTTCACGTCATTCTATCCCAGCATCCGCCCCGACCGCTCCCGTTCGGCATGACGAGCGCTCACCTGCACCGGTTGGGAGGGAGGACTTGGGATCCTCGTTGCGCATCCGCGGGCATGGATCATTGTTTAGCGTAGCCCGTCAGCTCGTTTTGGACCCGCGTGCATCGACCGACTTGGGGGAGATGGGTGTTCATAGCGGGGCACCACCGGGGGAGGAGAGGGAGAGACGAGCGGAGGAGCACGGAGCCGCCGGAGGCGGAGTTGAGGGTATTCGGGGTATGGAGGAGGAGGTAGCTGGAGCAGTGGGGGGCGTGGTGGAGGTAGATGATGGTGCGCACGTCAAGAGAGAGGAGGCCATGGCGAGGGTTGATGATGGTGAGCATGTTGAGGGAGTGGAGGGCGTGCTGCCATCGGAGGTTGAGAGGGAGCACGACGTGGCGAGGACGCAGGTTGAGAGAGAGGAGGGTGTGGCAGGGGTAGATGATGGTGATGCCCAGGTTGAGATGGAGGAAGATGTGAAGAGGGAAGATGCTACTGCGTTGTTTGGGGGAGAGGAGGGTGTGGTAGGGGGGGACGTCGCCCATGGTAGAGGAGAGGGAGGCGATGACCTTGACCCGATTGTCCGGCGTTTCGTCGATGACGAGATAGGTCCCGCACTAGCGGGTTTGACCCCGGGCACGAGGAGGGCACTGGGGGCGTCGCCATCAGGACAGAGGGGGGCGTCAGGGCTGGGGATGGGGGATTTCATGGACATGTCTTTGGGGGATCCTCCCAGCCCTAGTCACGCAGACAGAGAGGATGCGGCGTGTGCCCTAGCGGCCGCTGGGTACTCCAATAAGGAGATCGAGCAGGCATTTGCAGGACGCTCCAGGAGAGAGACAGACTCGCTTCAGCAGGGGTGCGAGGAGGTAGTAGAGCAGCCACAGGCAGAGCGTGAGGATGCACCCGCTGCAAATATCCCCGGAGGTAGCAGTTCGTTGGTACCGTTCACGGGCATGCGGATGACGACGACGATGCGGCCAGTTCGACCGTGTGTGCAGGGGTCAGATCCTGGGGAGGTGGCATTTGTTCAGGTACCACCGCTCATAGTCGTGGATTTAGGATCTGAGCCAACGCTTCATACACCGGTTACTGGGCGGCGAGCTCCTCAGGATACAAATCGCCCATTGGATTTCACGGAGCTCGCACGGGCTACTGTGCGTGACGTGACACGGTAGGAGGACACCGACCCTAGCAGACCACTTATGCCGCCTCCTCCTCCGAGATCACGTCACAGCGATTCCCCCTCGACACCAGTCGGTCGCCCCCCCCGTTCACCATCCACGCCCACCAGACCCAGGGYTCGTGACACGACGGCCATAGGGAGCCTCCCTCTTGACACGTCRCTATTCGGGAGGACGGATATCGACCTGGAGTCCGTGCGTCGGGTCACAGTGCACACTGCACGACAGCAGCCAGGTTTGGGTGGGGCWGACACCGGGAGGGGTGCGTCGAGGGAAGTCATGTCGGCAGTATCTCAGCCGCGAGATGTTCGTGGGGTTGGACAGGCCGGGTGTACCTTGCAGGCCGCTTTGGCAGCAGCAGCACGTGTTGTGCGTGACCAGACTTCGCGCATGAGCGGAGTAGCTCGTCCGCGTCCCATGCCTGCCACGGGGGGTGCCGCATTGGAGGAGTCTTCTGGAGCCGAGGGGTTGGGGATGCCGCGCGGTTCTCGTCGTGAGAAGATAGTCGCAGAGGTAAGTCAGGTGAGTGCTAGGCTTGTTCGGGTGAGGATGGGGGCTGACCCTGTGACCGTGGTGGAGGACGATCCCGAGACGGAGCCTGCATATGAGAAGGCCCCACAGGAGGGTGACGAGTACAGGGACGACGAGGGGCGTGAGGAGGAGGAGAGCGACAGCGGGGATGATGACAGCTACCACGACGACGACGACGAGCCCTCCCCTCCACCGCGGCATGGTTCTCGTAGACGACATGATGACGTCGACGACCCGTCCCGTCCAGGGCCGCGGGAGACGAGGAGTCGAAGGAGGCGAGAGTCATCCGTTGCGACAGTGCCGGGGCGAGGGAGTGTTTCATCGACACGCAGCACGAGTGGCACGAGTGGGGCGAGGCAGAGAGGCAGTGATAAGGGGAAGGGAAGTCAACGGTATTGACAACTTCTTTATCCTTCCACGACGCCTTTATGTTGTTTGTGCTTAGTGTTCTGACGTTTTTGTATATTGTTTAGGATGATGTACATATAGTTAGGTTTTAGGGACTTCGGAGCAGTTCATGGACTTCAGCATGCAGATAGTGTTGTCGAGAGTGTTTGTTTGTTTCGTTTTTCGGTTTATGTACGACGCTTTTATATTGTTTTTTAGTTATTGGGTTTTTGTTAGAGGTGGGACTTCATTCTGACTTGTCGTATTACGTAGATGTTTGTTAGGGTTTTCTTTTCAGCTTTGTTAGTTAGCGGTGTAGGCTGCATCCCATCGCTGTACGGCCCCGTACGACTCGGCACGAGTGTCGACGACACATTGTATCATGCGACATGTATTTCATATTGGACTCCTATATGCGACTTCGCCGGCACTTCGACATGACTTTTGTATGAAATTTCATGACTACTTTGTTTTCATTGTAGTTTCATGTTCTTCTATGCGGTTATTCTTGTGTGTGTGTGTGTGTGTGTGTGTGGCGGGGGGGGGTGTTTGTGTGTCTTGGCAGCCCTCCCCCAACCATCACTCAATCATTCAATTGTTACGATTCTGGTCATTTCCCAAGTGCAATTGACAATGAAAGACAATGCCACCCAATTGCGAAAGAAATGAAAGCACTTGCAAAGAGATAAAGACCAGAGAAGAGAGGGGAAGAAGAAGAAGAAGAAGAAGAAGAAGAAGAAGAAGAAGAAGAAGAAGAAGAAGAAGAAGAAGAAGAAGAAGTACACCAACAAGACCAACGAGTGGCAATGACAATTCCCCCCTTCTCTTTCCAACCTCCTCCTCCTCCTTCACTTCACCAATCTTATTATTCTCTCAATAATAATAACAATGAATGGATGAACCAGAATCAATATCCAAAGTTCCCTCTTACTGCTGACTCAACTCCACAACAACAACAACAACAACAAGCCCACCATAGTTATGGCTTCCCTCCTTCAGCTTCCCCTTTCATGCATAGGCTATGGCGGACTGATGAGGGCCCTGCCCTCCTGTACAAAAGACAACCCAAAGCAGCTATGGTGCTGCCGATGTCCAAAGGACAACCCAAGAGCAGCTATGCCGCTGCTGACTGGTCCGCCATGCTTGACTCTGCCTCGAGCTTCCTTGGAGCAGCGCTACCCCAACTGGGGCCTTCCGGATGCAGCACCCAACAAGGTGATGAAGACGGTGTCCACCATAGCCAGGTAAGTGTCTCGCCACTCTCCTACCATGCCCCTTCTTCCTCCTCCTCAAGCTGGACTGCTCACCATAGCCAGGCTGAGCTCCAGCGGTCTCTTCCCCCTCCCAGCAGCGCTGTACCTCTAGCACTATGCTCCAGCAGCATCTCGCCAATCCTTGCACACTGCAAATGAGGAAGAGCTCTTTGCTCTTCCTAGAGATATAGCGGCCTACCGGCCTCCTGGGCGGTGACTTCCTAGGCCAAGCAGACTCCCAGCAACCGGTACCTCCTCCCTTTCGGAGGGAAACATCATTCCAGGCTCTGCTATCCTCCGGACAGGCCCTAGACCCGGGCTACTTGGACTGGTACCGGCCTACCTCTAACCTACCGCTACTGGGCCTCTAAAAATGCCAACTTTTTGTCTTCTTCTGCTCGGCCTTCAGTACCCGACACTCATACCACTACTCGAATGGTACCGGCCTACCTGCTACTCGAGTGTTTTCCCCCTGCTCTAAGTGTCGCGAGCCTACCCCCGCTACTTGAGTGTCTACCCCCCTGCAACCTTCACAGTCACAGCCACAGGTAAGTACCGGCCCTGCGGGGCCTTCAAGTTGCAAACAACAAGTACCCTTGTGGGTCACACACACTCAACCGACAAGCACTCAAACAGTCATGCAAACCAGCAGGCACGCACACACACACACAGATATGAAAATCACAACAAAATGCGGGAATTTCACCAAGGCATTTATTCCAGCGGCAAATCCCGGAAATCAGCAGTGTTCTCAGTCTGTGTTTTGGCGGGTCATTACACAATAAAAAAAAACACAAAACATCAGTAAAAATTAAAAAATAAAACCGAGATTGGGTGGGGGCTGGGTGGTTTGGGCGGGTGTGTTTAATTTAGTTTTGTTTCTTCCGAGGGACCTCCAGCGCCCCCGCCGTGCACGGCGACGCGGGCGCGGCCCCCGTTGTTCGCTTTCCCGCTAAACGGTGAAGCCGTTCGACGGGTATTCAACGGAGGAGTTGAATCCATTCAACGGGGATTCAACTCCCGTTCAACGGGTTCAACGGGGATATAACGGGCGTGGTCGACGACAAACCCCTGTTATTTCGGTTCACATCGCCCGGCACGAGTGCCCGGCGGCTATTGTACACGGTCAGTTGAACCGCGTTCAACGGGAACCGGCCGTTGAATCGTTCAACAGGGTTTCAACTCGGGTCTTGTGCCCGTTCAACAGGTACAACGGAGTTGAAAAAATCCCGTTAGTAGTTGAATGGACACATAGGTTAAACCATGAACATTCTCGTGGGATGCGCTCTTTTGCCGAAATTCATACGGTGGACGGAGTCGAATACGATGCTTTTAGATCTGTGTGTGTTCGATTAGGCCTTTTGCAAACAAACGATGCATACGATCAATGCATCGACACAACCGCGGCGCATTACATGCCTGAAGAAGTTCGTAAAATATTTGCTATGGTTCTTGCGTTTGGTCCTGTGAACGATCCGGTCCGTTTCTTTGAACGACATTGGGATAAGATGTGTGATGATTTTCCATATCGTGCGGGCAACGAAATTGTTCCCCCGAACATTTTGCAATCCTTAGTGTTATTCCATCTTGACCGTATTTTACAGAAGTCTGGAAAAAACATTCATCAATTCTGCCTTTATGATCTAACGCCTGACGGAGAAGCAATTGCTGAGAACATAACCAGACATTACGAGAACAAAACTGTATCCTCGATTCTAAACGACGAGTTATCGTATGATCTGATTCAAATGTAACGCAAATATGATTATAATTTCCGACGTCTTCGTCCACGTCAACGAGTGTTGGTGGAAAAAGTTATTCGGGTTGTGCAAGAGAAAATACCGTTGTGTGCTTTTGTCGATGCACCAACTGGAACAGGAAAGACTTTTTGCATTGAAACGATTTTGGCGGGCATCAGGTCCCATTCTGCCATTGCACTGGCCGTCGCGTCCAGTGGCATAGCGACGACTCTTTTAACGGGGGGTCGAACGTTTCACTTCCGATTTCGTGCACCTTTGAAACCTGATAACACTCGTCCCTTCTTGATTGCTAAACAAAGTGATCTTGCGGAACTTATCCGCCGTGCCGACTTGATTGTTTGGGACGAGGCTCCGACGAGTAACAAGTTTCACTTGGAAGCTCTTGACATTACGCTTCGGGACCTCTGTAACAATGACGAACCGTTTGGTGGGAAAGTTCTACTTCTCGCTGGGGATTTTAGACAGGTTTTACCCGTTGTGAAACATGGATCGCGAGCGCAACAAATTGATGCGTCCATGAAAACGTCTCCTTTGTGAAAACGTTTTGAGATTCATCAACTGACTGAAAATATGCGAATCTTAAGCTTAGGGGATGACGAAATGACACGAATGTATGACCAGTTTTTGATGCGTTTTGAGAATGGTGACCATCCTCGCGTTGTTCCTAATGAACCTGCTGCAGTTAGATTGCCACTGTGCGGATAAACCAATTCATGAATTGATTTCATGGACGCTTGATGATGTGTATAACCATGTGGACGATGCCGAGTATTTCTTGCCTCGATTAATTCTATGCCCTATTAATGACGATGCTGGTTCTGTTAACAACCGTGTTCTTTACGACTTCCCTGGGAGGTGCGTGAACTTTTCAGTGTTGATTATCCTGATTCAGATGATACTGGGCTTGGTATTAAGCGAGAGTTGTTAAGCTCTCTCGATGAATCTGGGCTTCCACCTCACAAGTTGCGCTGAAAAATTCGTGCTCCTGTAATGCTTTTGCGAAATTTGTCACCGAAGCAAGGACTTTGCAATGGCACAAGGCTAATGATGATTTGTTGGAATTGACAATAATGCAAACGGGTAAAACAACACTAATCCCCAAGATTGATCTGACAAGCGATGGTGAGACTACTGGGTTCAAATGGTTTAGGAGACAATTTCCAGTTTGTCTTGCTTTTGTTGTAACGATTAACAAGTCGCAAGGACAAACAGTATCACGTGCTGGGGTTTGGCTACGCAAACCGCTTTTTTTCGCATGGCTAACTGTACGCTGCTTTGTCCCGTGTTGGCCATCCCAACAACATTTATGTTGCGTTGCCTGATAAGAATTTTTTTATGAAGAATATTGTATATCATGAACTTTTGGGATGAGTCCTTCTTTTGTTTTTCATTGACCCTTGACATTCTAAATAATTCGGTCATATTCTTTCTTTGCAGGCGACTCCCGAATGCCGTAGAAGTACGACACTCGTGCTAAGAGGAAAGCAATGGGAACCAGCGATACCACTCAGTATGATACAAATATTACGTCGAAAGCTGGAGCCGAACAGTCGGAGAGGTCGAAGAAAAGTGAGAATGTAAGAGGTTGGTGAATCTTGGAAGTGAACATCCTCGGGATGATCATCCTGTATGCGTGAGGTTGAATGTGAACGTTCCCAAGAGAATACCCTCGGACCCCGCGTTAAATCCATTTTCGAACACACAACCCTTGATCATGCTGAGAAAATGGTTGTGGACGGGGATGGTGACAATTATCGTAGTGATGGGGATGGTTCATGTAGAGGTCAGTCGGGCAGGTCTAGTAACCGAACATTTCGCGATCTTGAGGATTATGATGACGTTACATGTGATTTGAAAGGAAATTTGGTTGAATCTACATTCGTGAAAAAAATGAGCCGTCGTGGGAAAACTAATGTTTTGGATTCGCCCGGAGTGCCAGAGCCTATGCTCGGTAATAATCGGGTGGAACGGCAACCGGTTGCTGGTGAAACGGGAACTCAGATTTTAAGAGCGCTAAATGAGCTCCCTGCCGAGGCATTTGCATCTCTTGAATTTTGTGCACCGCTCGCTGGACGTGCACGTGTTCGTGATTCGTGTTCGCAATCTCAACGCAGTGGACGTGAAAGAGATGTTTGTGCCACATCGCAACCACAAAATCGTGCGGGTCTTATTGTGGTGTCCGACGATAAGGATGAACCCGCAATCCGTGCTTCGAATCCGCGCGCTTACCTTGGGAAATGATTCGAGGATGCGAAGAAGGTTGACATACAAAATGTCTTGACCGAGGTGCTTTTTGAAATGTTTGTCAAAAGTGCCACAGTCGTAAAAGATGGACGAATATGGAAAAACTTCCTCGAGTGGAAAAAAAACAAACTCACTAATATGCAGTTGGAACGAAAATCCCCTGAGGCTCTTCCTTCAAACCCGTTGAATGTTTCTGATTTGGAGACTTCTTCCATGTTGAATCCACTTTTGAGCGATGAATATATTGCTCTCGCTAATCAGAAGATTACTAGAATGATATTTGATTTGCCACATTGTCCGACAGAAGGGCCCATTCCCCAACCCTTTCACAGATATGTACGGATACAGCAACTTCTCAAAAGGATTCCTCCTGTGGTTGCTTCTTTCACTCCTCATTGCGCTCCGGTCCGTAGACTCCCCCTTCAAG